TTAACCATTATCCAAGAGCCATATCCTTCATCTGTTACACCAGAAGGAAAATAAGTATGCATTTGGATTCCAGTAAAAAAGAATTTAAAATCATGAGAATAGTATGCTTTTATTGTATAACTAGAGGCTGGGTGCATGAAATTCATGAATGGGTGTGGGGTGGAGGGTGTCCCTCAACCCAGCCTGCACCCTCTCCAATCTGGGACCCCTCAAGGGATGTCCGACTGTCCGTTTAGGCCCAATAGGTTCAGGCCTAAACGGGCAGTTGGACATTCCTCTCACAATCCAGAACTGCTGGCTCCCAACTGCTCACTTGCCTGCCTTCCTAATTGCCCCTAATCGCTTCTGCCTGCCAGCCTGATCACCCCTAACCACTCTCCTGCCAGCCTGAATGATGCCTAACTGCTCCCATGCCAGCCCAATTGCCCCTAACTGCCCGCCTCTGCAGGCCTGGTATCCCCCAACGCCCTCTCCTGCTGGCCATCTTGTGGAGGCTATCTTATGTTCACATGTGGGCAGCCATCTTTGACGGCATGAGGGCAGCAATCTTATGTGTTGGAATGATGGTAAATTTGCATATTACTCTTTTATGAGGTAGGATAGAGGCCTGGTGCATGGGTGGGGGCCAGCTGGTTTGCCCTGAAGAGTGTCCCAGGGCAAAGAGTGTCAGGCTGGGTTTTCCCTTGGGGTGTGGGGTGGTTTGGGTGAGGGGCCTGTGGTGGTATGCAAGCTGACCACACCCACCAGCGACCCAAGTGGAGGCCCTCGTATCTGGGATTTATTTATCTTCTACAGGTGAAACTTTTGTAGCATTGAGTGGAGGCCTAGGCTGGCCAGAGTGGGTGGAAAGCTTGGCTTACTCATTGCTGGGGGCAACTCAAGCCTCCTGCTCTCTCCAGCTCTGTGGCTGCAGCCATCTTTTTGGTTGGGACTTATTTAACTTCTATAATTGGAACTTTGTAGCCTTGAGTGGAGACCTAGGCCAGCCAGGGTGTGCAGAAAGCTTGGTTTTCTCCATTACCAGGAAAACCCAAGCCTCCTGCTCTCTGTGGCTGCAGCCATCTTGGTTGTGTTGATTTGCATACTCACTTCTGATTGGCTGATGGGCATGGATTGTGGTTATAGCAGAGGTATGGTCAATTTTCATATTATTCTTTTATTAGATAGGATTAAATATTTCAATGTATATGTCTAAAAAAAGAATCTTAAAACATCAACATAGATTAAGGTGACCAGATCATCCCTTTTTTGAAGGGATAGTCCTGATTTCTAACAATTTTTCCTGTGTCCAGCAGCATTTTTAAAAAGTCCCAATTTTTGGAAAGATTGGAAAACTGTCCCCCAAAAAGCAGGACGATCTGGTCACCTTAACATAAATAGATATCTTTAGAATTTAATAAAACTTTTAAAAAGTTTTATTTTCATATTTTGGACTTATATTTAAAATTATTCAATACTTTAGGGATTGTGTAATTATAAGGGGACTGTCTTTGGTACCATGTTGATAAATGAAAGCTTTGAAAGGGCAGTTCCCAGAAAGATCAGAAATGTTACTGAGGAATATGGGCAATAAGAAAGCAAAGTGATTAAAGAATTTAATGTAATTTATATTTAGTGAGGATGTACTTTTATAATTTCACTATTTCTAACATATACTAGTATAGCAAATATTAAGAATGAAATATTACCAGGACTCTTTCATACTTCCAATGCCACAATTATGCTATTCTTTAGCAATTCTTAATGATTATAACCAAAATACCTTGGTCATGCTCAGGAATAAATTTCTTGTCATTTTTAAAGGCTTTTATTCTTCTATCCCAGAATTCTCACTTTTTCATGGAGGCTTCATCTACTTGAAGCCATCCTCCCTATTCAATCTAATATTGTATGGGGGTTTCTGTAAGTCATTTATCAAGGAAGGGTGTTGGATTTTGTCAAATGCTTTTCTGCATCAATTGATATGACTGTGATTTTTATCTCTCAATTTGTTTATGTGATGTATCATGTTTATTGATTTGTAGTATTGTACCATCTTTGCATTCCTTGGATAAATCCTACTTGGTCATGGTGTATCATCTTTCTGATGTACTGCTAGATCTGGTTTGCTAAAATTTTGTTGAGGGTTTTTTGTAAAAGTCATTTTAGAGCCAACTCAAACCTTTTTTTATTTACTGTCTTTTGTTAATTTACCCTGACAGTTGAATTGATATAGATTGTAAACATGCTGCTGATAAATTGGAAAAGATAGAAATTGGTGGAAATAGGGTCTAAATTAAATATGAGCAATGAAATATAAGTTATAAAAACTCGCAAAGATGCTGAGGGAAGGCGGGGGTTGTGGGAGTAAGAGATCAACCAAAGGACTTGTGTGCGTGTGTATGAGCATAACCAATGGGCACAGACAGGGGGGCAGGGGTGGGGGAATGTGCTGGGGTAGGGGGTGGCCAGGGAGAGGTCAATGTGGAAAATTGGAGATTTATATATAATACATTAAATAATAAAGAACTTAAAAAAAACTCACAAAGAAATTAATACTATTTTTCTTTAAAATTGTTACAATTTACCATATTAATTTTTACTGACATCTCAAATAGCATTTGTTTTTGTGGTTTATACCTATATATATGAACTGTGTTCAAAATTAAAATAGAAACTTTTAAGTGTTTATTTAAAAAATTTATTACAATTATTACTGTAATTAAATACTGACAAGATTATATTAGTTTCAGGAGTACAATATAGTGAATAGACATTTATATAACGTATGAATTGATCACCTCAATAAATCTTGAACACATCTGATACCATATGTAGCTATTATAATATTATTGACTATATTCCCTATGATGTAAATATCCATGATTGTTTCCTAATTAACAAAATGTACTTCTTAAACCCTTTTTCTTTTTCACCCATTCCTAAAACCCCCTCCCATCTGGCAACCATAAAAAATGTTCTCTGTGTCTGTAGTTTGTTTCTGTCTCATTTGTTCATTTATTTTGTTTTTTAGATTCCACATAGTATGTGTTAGTCTTTCTCCATCTGACTTATTTCACTTAGTATAATACTCTCAAGGGCCATCCATGTTGTCCCAAATGGCAAGGTTTCACTCTTTTATGGCTGAGTAATACTCCATCGTATATTTGTACCACTTTATCCATTCATTATTGATGAACGCTTTGGTTATTTCTAGATCTTGGCTGTAATAATGCTACAATGTGCATATGGGTGCATATGTCTTTTCAAATTAGTGTTCTAGGTTTCTTTGAATAAAGTCCCAGAAGTTAATTTGCTGTGTCCTTCTTCATCTCTTATTATTATCATTGGTTTAATGTCTATTTTTATCTAGTATAAGTATTGCTACCCAGCTTTATTTTTTATTTTATTTTTTTTTTTTGCTCCACCTCATGAAATTCTTTTTCCACCCCTGATTTTGTCTGTCTATGTGTTTTGTTCTGAAGTGAGTCTCTTATAGGCAACATATATAAGGGTCTTATTTTCGTATCCATTTAGCCACTATGTTTTTTTATTGGGATATTTAAACCACTTATGTTTAAAGTAAATTATTAATAGATATGTGGTTTTTACCATTTTATTATTCCTTTAACATTACTTGTAGTATTGGCTTGGTGGGAAGCAATTTATTTGTCCTTTAATTTTAAATGATAGCCTTGTTGGGTAGAAAGTAATCTTGCTTTTCATCACTTTGGCTATTCCATGCCGATCCCAGAAGACCAGCAGACTTTCTATTGAGAAATAAGCCAACAGTTTTCTGGGAGCTCCCTTGTAGGTAACTAACTGCTTTTCTCTTGCTGCTTTTAAGATTCTTTATTTGTTTTTAACCTTTGGCATTTTAATTACAGTGTGTCTTGGTGTGGACCATTTTGGATTCATCTTGTTTGAAACTCTGCATTTTCTGAGCTGTATATTTATTTCCTTCACCACGTTAGAAAAGTTTGATGTCCTTATTTCTTCAAACAGGTTTTCAACTCCTTACACTTCTCTTCTCCTTCTAGTGTGCCTATAATGTGAATGTAGGTACAGTTGATATAGTACCAGGGGCCCTCTAAACTAGCCTAGTTTTTTATTAATTTTTTTTCTTTTAGTTGATTTAAAAGTAGCTCTAACAAATCTATTATATTATCATAAAACATATTTTTGTGACTTTATAGATTCCCCAAAGGGTCTTGAGGGCCCCCAGGCATCCATTAACAATACCTCAAGTGCTGCATGAGATGTTCCACAGGTAAAAGTGGAGGGAACTGGATGCAGATCACTGATGACCAGTGAGCAAGCAAAGAAATCTTAGTGAACTGAGAGATTGTAGTGGAATGTCGACATCCAAGATGTTTTCACACAGCCAGTGATTATGAGCACTGCTTATGTAAGTGTCCATGGGAATTCTCAATAAGTAATAGAGTAAAACTCTGAGATCAGTAAATAACTGAAGAAAAATAAAATTATTTCTTGAGGGCTAAACTATATATTATACATGTTCTTTGTTTATTGAGTAAATTCATCTGCACTGCTTTTTACAACATGATTTCTACTACATGTCATCCTCTTAAAACCCATGACTGCCATTTTATTTACATATTGTCAGCATACTTTATAAGCTGAATTTTTGCTTCAGGGACTGCCCAGGCTGGATGTCCTGCATGAGAAGCCTCTATGAGGAGAATTACAAACACAAATGAGACACTTGGGAACTCTCTCAAAAGGTTAACAAAATATTGATAGCTTATATGAATATATTGGCAGACAGTTGTAGTGACCCCATATCAATGACCTGATTAAACTGGTGATGGAGAAAATCATCAGAGAAAGGCACCAGGACATAAATCCAGACATAGCTATAAATTTCTCCACTATCATTGCAGAAAACATACATCTGAGATAAGTCATGGCAAATAAATGATGCCATATATAAGTAAACACATGATGTCATTCATGGGTTTCTTTTTGTTGTTTTTCATTCATTTTTCTTCAATCAAATTTCAGTTGTCCTGAATACCTGCACCTTTCTCACCCCGGAAGAGCTTTATGACACTGTCACGGATCTGCTTTGTCTTTACCCCATAAACAATAGGGTTCAGAGTTGGAGGAAGAAGAAGATAAAGATTAGCCACAATAATGTGAAGAGAAGGGGGAATAGTGTGTCCTCCAAAACGGTGGGTAAAGAAAGTGAAGAATGCTGGAACATAGGTGATGATAATGGCAGATATATGGGCAGTGCAGGTGCTGAAGGCCTTCTGCTGAGCATCTGCTGATGAAAGGTTGACCACTGCACGGAGGATCATAGTGTAAGATGCGGATATACAGCAAATGTCAAATACTCCAATCAGGAGGGCAACCATCAGACCATAGATGACATGGACCTTGATGCTAGCACAGGATAACTTCACCACTGACATGTGGTCACAATATGTATGGGAGATAATATTGCTTTGGCAGAAAGGCAAACGCTTGACTAAGAAAGGAAAAGGAATCATTAGTAACACACCCCTCAAGAAGGTGGCAATCCCAGCTTTGGCAATAATAGAGTTAGTGAGTATGGTAGCATAACGCAATGGGTAGCAAATAGCGACATAGCGGTCCAGAGCCATGAGCATGAGTACACCAGACTCCACACCCGTGAACCCATGGACAAAGAACATCTGAACTAAGCAGGCATTGAACTTAATTTCTTTGAAGTTAAACCAGAAGATGCAGAGTGCATTGGGTAGAGTGGTGGTGCAGGTAAAGAGGTCAATGAGGGAGAGCATGGCCAGAAAGAAATACATTGGACGATGTAAGGACTCTTCGTGATAAATGAGGTACACAAGGCCAAGGTTTCCCACAAGGGAAATGATATACATTGTGCAGAATGGGAGAGAGATCCATACATGTACTCTCTCCAGACCAGGAATTCCATCAAGAATAAAAGATTTTGGAGCCACATATGAATTGTTGGAAGCCAGCATAACTAATCCAGTTGACGAATGCTAGTTTTCCAGAAGTATTTATTCTGAGAAGAAATAAATAATAAATTTAATTCAGATCATCCTTGAGAAGGCAAACTTAAGTTTGGAATTAAATTTTATTTATAACGGCATTAATAATTTTTAATAATAGAGACTGAAAATATACCATTTATTGAATAATGTTCTACTACAGGTAATATTTTAAAGTTTTATAAGCAGCCTAAATGTAATTTTTAAAGTCATCATTACAAAGTTGCAATTATTGTTTATCACCAAATAAAAGAAGAAACTGAGGCACGGAGAGATCCAATAATGTTAAATGTTACAAAATTAGATTCAGGGACAGAAATGATATTCATATATGACTCTAACATTCATATAATGTGTTTGCATCTGAATTTGAAAGAGTATATGGCTTATACATAACAAGTCATAATTGCAGAAGGATGGCCTGAAATTTGTTTATTGCATTTTATCAAGATTATGATTATTTAAACCAAATATGATCTTATTCAAATTTCAGGTCTTTCCATACCAATTGTATGACTTCATATTTGAAGCATCAGTCACTCATATATTGGGTCGGCAAGTAAGTAATTGCTGGTTTCACACATATATGGCTTCAGTTGAATTTTTAGGTTTGCAGACGTAGTACAAATGTAAAACACATTTTGTTATTTGATAGTTGGCTATTCAGCTGTTAATCAGTAAAAAAAGTTTTTTGATCTGTTTTGTAGTTTTCGTTTGGCGTTCGTTGAAAAATGGAAAATCAAAAGGAACATTTTTGTCATATTTTGCTTTTTTATTTCCGCAAAGGGAAAAACGCATCGCAAGCTCATAAAAAGTTATGTGCTGTTTATGGTGACGAAGCCTTAAAAGAACGGCAGTGTCAAAATTGGTTTGCCAAATTTCGTTCTGGTGATTTTTCACTCAAAGATGAAAAACGCTCTGGTCGTCCAGTTGAAGTTGATGACGCCCTAATCAAAGCAATAATCAATTCGGACTGTCACAGTACAACACGTGAGATTGCAGAGAAGCTTCATGTATCACATACATGCATTGAAAATCACTTAAAACAACTTGGCTATGTTCAAAAACTCGATACATGGTTTCCTCACGAACTGAAAGAATCAGAGTTAATGCAACGCATTAGCAGCTGCGATTTGCTAAAGAAACGTAATGAAAATGGTCCATTTTTAAAACGACTGATAACTGGCGATGAAAAATGGGTTGTTTACAACAATATCAAGCAGAAAAGATCGTGGAGCAGGCCAGGTGAACCAACTCAAACAACATCAAAAGCTGATATTCATCAAAAGAAGGTTTTGTTATCAGTTTGGTGGGATTACAAAGGAATTGTCTACTTTGAACTCTTACCACCCAACCGAACGATCAATTCTGATGTCTACATTGAACAACTAACGAAATTAAACAATGAAGTTGAAGAAAAGCGGCCCGAATTGACAAATCGAAAAGGTGTTGTATTCCATCATGACAATGCAAGGCCACACACATCTTTGGTCACTCGGCAAAAATTAATGGAGCTTGGTTGGGATGTTTTGCCACATCCACCATATAGTCCTGACCTTGCACCATCTGATTACTTTTTGTTTCGATCTTTACAAAACTCCTTGAATGGTAAAAATTTCAATAATGATGATGATGTCAAATCGTACCTGATTCAGTTTTTTGCTAATAAAAACCAGAAGTTTTTTGAACGTGGGATTATGATGCTGCCTGAAAGATGGCAAGAGGTCATTGATCAAAATGGGCAATACATTACAGAATAAAGTTATTTAGTTCCATGAAAAAATTGTCTTTGATTTTCTTTTAAAAATCCGCAATTACTTAGCTGCCGACCCAATATAATGTGAGGTTAATGATAGCTACCTGAAAGAGTTATGAAAAATAATCAAAAGTTGATTTTACACCTAAGTTAGTAACATCTGGAATTGGATATACTAACTCAAAATGCAAATGTAAAAGCTATATGAATATGAGATGCACAAACAGTGGTCAGGAGGTTTCATTGTCCTATGAAAGAGAAAAAAAATAAGAAGTCTCTCTTTCTTAAAAACCCTGTAATCCCTCAAAGTCATTGAGGTCATCTACTTTCTTTTCATGTATTTTGTCTTAACACAATTTGGAAAAAGCATATTCTCTGGACTCCCTCTTTATTCTCTTTCTTAGAATACTGTCCACTCTCAAGACTTCAAATATAGCCAACAATAAAATAATTTTCAGAGAACCAAGATGGCAGCATAGATAAATGCCTATACTTGCTGCCTCCTACAATCACATCAAAATTAAACATACTACTTTTTTATTTTTATTTTATTGATTTTTTTATAGAGAGGAGGAGAGAGGGATAGAGAGCTAGAAACGTCAATGAGAGAGAAACATCGACCAGCTGCCTCTTGCACACCCCCTACTGGGAATGTGCCCGCAACCAATGTATTGGGTCGGCAACTAAGTAATTGCGGATTTTAAAAAGAAAATCAAAGACAATTTTTTCATGGAACTGAATAACTTTATTCTGTAATGTATTGCCCATTTTGATCAATGACCTTTTGCCATCTTTCAGGCAGCATCATAATCCCACGTTCAAAAAACTTCTGGTTTTTATTAGCAAAAAACTGAATCAGGTCCGATTTGACATCATCATCATTATTGAAATTTTTACCATTCAAGGAGTTTTGTAAAGATCGAAACAAAAAGTAATCAGATGGTGCAAGGTCAGGACTATATGGTGGATGTGGCAAAACATCCCAACCAAGCTCCATTAATTTTTGCCGAGTGACCAAAGATGTGTGTGGCCTTGCATTGTCATGATGGAATACAACACCTTTTCAATTTGTCAATTCGGGCCGCTTTTCTTCAACTGCATTGTTTAATTTCGTTAGTTGTTCAATGTAGACATCAGAATTGATCGTTCGGTTGGGTGGTAAGAGTTCAAAGTAGACAATTCCTTTGTAATTCCACCAAACTGATAACAAAACCTTCTTTTGATGAATATCAGCTTTTGATGTTGTTTGAGTTGGTTCACCTGGCCTGCTCCACGATCTTTTCCGCTTGATATTGTTGTAAACAACCCATTTTTCATCGCCAGTTATCAGTCGTTTTAAAAATGGATCATTTTCATTACGTTTCTTTAGCAAATCGCAGCTGCTAATGCGTTGCGTTAACTGTGATTCTTTCAGTTCGTGAGGAACCCATGTATCGAGTTTTTGAACATAGCCAAGTTGTTTTAAGTGATTTTCAATGCATGTATGTGATACATGAAGCTTCTCTGCAATCTCACGTGTTGTACTGTGACAGTCCGAATTGATTATTGCTTTGATTAGGGCGTCATCAACTTCAACTGGACGACCAGAGCGTTTTTCATCTTTGAGTGAAAAATCACCAGAACGAAATTTGGCAAACCAATTTTGACACTGCTGTTCTTTTAAGGCTTCGTCACCATAAACAGCACATAACTTTTTATGAGCTTGCGATGCGTTTTTCCCTTTGTGGAAATAAAAAAGCAAAATATGATGAAAATGTTCCTTTTGATTTTCCATTTTTCAACGAACGCCCAACGAAAACTACAAAACAGATCAAAAAACTTTTTTTACTGATTAACAGCTGAATAGCCAACTATCAAATAACAAAATGTGTTTTACATTTGTACTACGTCTGCAAACCTAAAAATTCAACTGAATTTTTGTTGTGTGAAACCTGCAATTACTTAGCTGCCGACCCAATATAATACATGCCCTTGACCGGAATCGAACCTGGGACCTTTCAGTTCGCAGACCGATGCTCTACCACTGAGCCAAACTGGTTTCGGCAATCACATCAAAATTACAACTAAAATACAGAACAGCTGTCATCCAGAACTGCCAGAAAGCTGACTGAGTGGAAGTACTACAAGTAGAAAGGTAAAGAAGAAAGCACATTGAGACTGGTAGGAGGTGAGGAGGCACAGACAGGCTTGTCCAGCACCCAACAATGCCACTTTTATAATTGGGAGGGATATTGTCTCTGCGGAGACCACCCAGAGAAGTAAGGGGTCCCAGTCCCACACTAGACCATAAGCCCAGGGTTCCAAAGCTAGAGAAATAAGTTCCTACAGGCAATAAGAACTTGGACTGTAAAACCAATGCAGATTGAGGCTGAGTGACACACAGGTTGCTTGAGACCAAGCTGCTCCTCTTTAAAAGCTGGCACCAGGGGGCTCCAGTGGCGCAATCGGTTAGCGCGCGGTACTTGTAAAAGCTGGCACCACAAACTGAATTTACAAGCTCACACTTCCTCTGAGCTCCAGCAAAGGGGCAAGGCTTTGGGGGATCCAGACACATACAGGGAGAAACTGGACTGTCAGGGGCTGCTTTCTTCCAGACAGAGGTGCTTGCAACAGTCATTGTTCCAATGTTGGGACCTCCCCAATGCAGGGCTGACTGGCAGCCATTTCTGTGTGTTCTGCCCTGGTGACTCCTGAGACCCTGCCCCACAATTTACAACCCCACCCAAGCTGTGTGCAGTGGCTTTTGCATATGAATGGTCTGTCTTTTCTCAGGCTAAAACTCTGTCAAACAAGCCTCAGTTTTAAGAAGTCCCAAACCTATCAATAAAAGGCCCAAGGCAGGCACCAGCACCAGCCTGCCTCACTTCACAGCTGAGCCTTGTCTGGGCACTTCCAAACCTGATACAAAGAGAAGGAATCCTCATATCTCTCTGTAGCTCCTGCTGGGTGGCCCCAGGCAGTGGCTGACTTTGCATCTCCCTGGAGACCCAAGAGCCAGTGTACCCACTGGATGGTGTAAGACCATACCAGATTACAGCTCTTCACATCTATAAATGACACACCCAAGGGGAAGACTCAGTGAGCACCAAAGCCCCACTGAAGCAAGTCCTGCTCCATAAGGGTGTCTCTGCAGCAGCTCTCCCACTGTAGTTGCAGCAGGTTCCTACAACCAATTGGCCTGGAGGTCAATTCCTCTCAATGACACCAAAATCAA